TATGAATACTATTAAAATATGTGCACCACCAGCTAAAGCCAAAGAGGAGGAAACTGAAGATTTTTACCAAATGTTGCAGTCCAAAGTAGACCAAACATGCCATCAAGATGTAGTAATGATAATTGGTGACTGGAATGCAAAAGTTGGAAACAATGAAGAAAGTATGGACTTTGTGACAGAAATGAAGCTGGCAATCCAGTGATTGCATTTTGTATGCCAAGAAGTGGTATTGGGAAATACTTTCACCAGGGCACGTTCAAGTCCCTAATCATGCCAGACCAAGACATATTTCCCTTAATGCACTGGGACAGCTGTAGGTGGTTTGGGTTTGTTTTGTTGTTGTTGTTGGCTTGGTTTTTAAGACAGAATAAGAGATGATTTATTGTGCAGATTACATCTAACACACAATTTAGCAGAGTTAGTCCAGAATATCCTAAGTCCAGCAACGGATCAAAAAGGGGCTGGTTTTGAAAGAGGAAGGTGGGCCTCTCAGAGGTGTTCATGGTGACTGAATGGCAATGGAAGTTCTAGATCCCTTGAGTCAGAAGTTCTAGACAGGAACATGCGGTTAGATTTATATCAGCATGCTGCCTGTGGCCTTCTCTGTTCTGCTGCTGCCGTGTCTGTGCATGCACATGATGTTTACATGGACCGCTGCCTCATCTTTCACCCATCCCCACCCCCCATTATGCTCAGCCTGCGCGTTTGCTGTTTCCTCCACTTGGCCCTCTTGGTTCAGAGGTCTTGAATAAGATGGCGCAGAAGTCCAGAGCTAGAAGGGTTGCTTTGTGTGTTGTTGTTTGGTGTGTGTGGTTGTTTTTTTTTTTATTGTGTGGAAGGTTCTTTTAGTATTGTGCAGGACAGATTCCCACTGCCAGAGGTTGGCAAACTTCCTGGACACTTTAGACTTCATAGTTCATAGTTGTGGGTAAAAGTGGCCATGGATAATATGTAAGTGAATGGGCATGGCTGTCTGCAATCTGGACTGATGACGAAGAATGTGCCATTAGGATTGGAGAAAGACTCATCAACCTGTGCTATGCAGATGACACTACCTTGCTTGCAGAGAGTGAAGGACTTAAAATGCTTCCTGCAGAAAAATCAAAGAGTACAACCTTTAATATGGATTGCATCTCAACATCCAGAAAAAAACTGCTTTCCACTGGACCTATATTCAACGTCATAATAGATGGAGAAAAGACTGATATTATCAATTATTTCATCTTACTAGGATCCATCACCCACACTCTTGCTATCAGCAGTCAAGAAATCTGAAGATGATTTTGGCATTGGGAAGATCAGGTGTCTGTCAAGGACATCACCAGAGTGTTGAAGAGCATGGATGTCTGTTTAAATACTGAAGTATTCCTGACCAAACCATGTCTTTTTCACTTACTTGCTATCCATCTGAAAGTTGAACAGTGACTATGGATGACAGAAGAATAATTAATGCCTTTAAGATGTGGTAGGGAAGAGTACTGGGTAATGTCATGAACAGCCACAAGAACAAACAAGCATGTCTTGGAGAAAGTGCACCCAGGGTTCTGGGAAGCCAAGATGGAGAAGCAGATGAGTCAAAAGCCTTGTACTTTGGGCATGTTGTCAGGAGGGGCCAATCTTTGGAGAAAGACACCATGCTTGGAGAGGTGGAGGGCCATCGAAAGAGAGAAAGACTCTCAACAAAGATGTACTGACACCATCACGATGTAACAATAACAAAGGGCTTAAGTTTACCAAATGTAAGGGTGGCACTGGATAAGGAAGGGTTCAGATCTTTTGTTCATAAGATCACTGTTAGTAGTCGACTTTAGGGCACATTACAACCAACAACATCTTCCAATGAACTTTTAGTTACAAAACAAGTGACTTGTCAAGGACTGAATTTGTTATCCCCTAATTTAAGTAATAGGAGCCTTATTAGTGCTGAGCTGCTAACCAAAAGTTTGATGGTTCAAACCCGTCAACCTCTGTAGGACAGATAGCAGTCTACATCTATAAAGATTAACAACCTCAGAAAGCCACTGAGCATTTCCACTGTCTGTATTATAGAGTTAGAATTTGCTTCAGAGCAAAGATTTGGTTTCGGTTTTTTGCTTTGAGGCGTTTTTAAGTGAGTCTAAACAAATAGACTTAAAGATTATAGAAGTTACCCAACGCTGAAATAAGCAGTTTTTTTAATTGCTTTCTTTATATTTGCATGAGAAGCAATATTGTAGAGTGCATTTCTAAGCACTAATCTACTTGACTTTGAATTCAGGGTTCCCCTAGTTACTAATTATATTAAACTGGGCGTATCTAACTTTTCATTACATCTCCCACAAAAGATATGTTGTTGTTGTTAAGTGCCATCGAGTCATAGATGACTCATATGGCGATCCTATGAATGAAAGACCTGAACACTTGTATAACTTTCATCATTTCTCCAAATTCATAGGGTTTCTGGAGTCAGGGTATTTCAAAAGTGGATGCCACTCCTGCTTCCAAGCTTGTTTTAACTGGGGAGCTCCACCAAGCACTGGCCACCATGGGTAATCATTATTGCATTTGACACATCAGTGTCACAGTGTTTAGCATCACAGCAACGAGTTAGCTCTGTACAGCAAGTGGACAGATCAGTGCTGTGCCACTTAGAAGAATGTTTGACCCAAAACAATAAAAACCAGCTCTGAGGGCCGCAGATTAAAATCACCCACCTTTGGCTTGGTAGCATCACTTTCTATCCACTAGGCCAACTGAGCTCTGTGTTGTTAAGTGCTGTTGAATTGTAGACAACTCATAGTGGCTCTATGAACAAAAGACCTGAACACTTGTATAACTTTCTTCATTTCTCCATGTTGATAGGGTTTCTGGGTAAGTTAAAAACCCATAAAATTTAGCATAGTGGCTGTATAGCCAATAAAAAGCTCAATAGTAACTACTGTACTTGCATTACTGACAGATTTGAGAGATGTTCCTAAAGAATCATCTCTGGACTTCTGATGGCCTTTTTAATACCGGAGGTGGGGGGTGGATTACAAGCAAGATTGATTCACACAGAAGTGCTACAAAAGTCCTGAGAGTGCTGTAGAGAAGAAAGGAAGATGAGAAGTGAAGATTACGGGCTGATTTGGGGGAGAGTAACAGAAGTAGGAGGGAAAAAAGTGAAGAGAACAATTGGAAATGAAAACTAAGTGAGGAAGGAGACAAAAGTGAGTCCCTAATGTGTACGAAGCAGTGTGGGACAGGACAAGAGTAGAATTTCCCATCGTTTCCAAGGCTGAAATCTGGGAGAAGATGGTGTAGTACACCGTGTGTTGTGCTGCTAATCTAAGGTAGTATGTCTTGGGTTGTTTGAATCCACCGGCAGAAAAACGGGTTCTCCTTCCATTAAGATTTACAGCCTCTGAAACCCAATGAAGGGTCACTATGGCCCGGAATTTACTCAATGGTAGTGAATGTTATTATCCTTTGGTGCCATCGATGAATTTGAACCACCAATCTTTTCACTTATCAGCTGAACATGTAACTGTTGTGCCATTAGGTTACCTTCAGAGTGGCATACTGCTGTAAAGTTTACTCTGACCCCTGGTAACCTTTCGTCAGGTTTGTGGGGCTGTGAATCTTTGAGATTGCAGCTCAGCTTCTTGCCACTAGGTCACCAGGGCTCAAGAGGTGCTATAAATGTTAATGGAAGGGAACTTCTCCTTTCTCCCTTAGAGCAGCTGGTGCAGTCGAACACTGACCTTCCTCTTCGCAGCCCACTATGTAACAAACTATGTTGCTTTTCAGAGTGTTGAACTGTTGACAGATGCTGTCTAGTCCACTCTGACTCATAGCAATTCTATATAAGTCCTGCATGTCGTTGGTTGCCCTCATGTCATGCAGTTCAGTACCCTGTGAACAGCAGATCAGAACCTTACCCTACTCTGTCTATTCCTCATGATCTGTGTTCCGCTCAGGCCCACTGTTAGTCACTCAGTCCGTCTTGAGTGTCCTTTCTCTGACCATTCGTTCATTTCACCATTCCTTGCTTCTAAGGAGCATCCTGGGCCAACTTTCAGAATGAGTCAGGTGGTTCTTTTGGCAGACCATGGGACAGTCTTCTATCCTGTGGATACTCTTCTCCACCACCACAATTCAGGGTTTTTTAAGATCCTGAATAACAGTGTGTAAACAAACAGGATAGACTGTTGGTTAACATCATTGGATGCTGGAGAAAAAAAGTACCTCAATCCTTGATAATAGGAAAATTCGATCGGCAAAGCATTAATTGAGTGCCTCTTTTGGGGACAAGAGTAATTCTGGTGACCTAGTGGTTATGGAGTTGTGCTGCCAACCCAAAGGCAAGAGGTTTGAATCTAGCAGCTGCTCCAAGAAGAAAGAACAATCTCTAAAAACAGCTCAAGGGTCAGCTATGAGTCAGTTCTAACTCCATGGCAATGAGTTGTTTTTAAGGGATAAGTGCTGGAGATCCAGAAAAGCATTAGATATTGGTATTCCCAATATATGAATTGAGAATTTAAATTTTAATGAATCACACTACCTTTTAAAATTCAAAACTCATTGCCATCAATTAAAAACTCACAGGTTGCTGGATTCAAACTGCCTACCTTTGGGTTGGCAGTGCAATTCCTTACCACACCAGAGCTGCCAAAGATAATCTTCCATAATTGTATTATACAGTGTTGTGGCACATAATTTATTCTAACTCTAATACCAGTACCAAAAGTCAGAGAGAAGATGTGTAGGTAACTGACAATAAAACCCAGTAATGATTTTTTTTAAATGTATTCTGTTCAAATCAGAATTCTGTTATAGTGGAGTTGATGGACCAGAATATGACAGAAAGCTGGGACTACCTGAATATTCTGCGTGCTCAGCAAGTAGAAAATCTAGTGGGGGCAGAGAGCATGGGAAGACATTCTTACACAGAACTGGCACTTTCACTTTAAGAACTTAAGTTGTTGCTATTCACAAGTGTGGACCGCCTTACTGAACTGCCTTCCTTTCTTTCATAGATCATGGCCAAGAATAAACGAAGAGGGCAGAAGCCCAGGAATGTGTTTCACATAGCAAGCCAAAAAACCTTTAAGGCTAAAAGCAAAGCAAAGCCAGTCACTACAAGTCTTAAGAAGGTAAGTGTTAAACATCTAAATCGATTGTTGAAAAGCCAAGTGTAATTATAAAGCTAAAGAAAAATGTAATGTTTCTATTAAAGTTATAGCCATTCCCACTACGGCAAAATGATTGTAAATTTTTGTTTAAAGGAGGGAGGGGAAAAGTAACAAAAAAATAACCTCCCTTTTATGAATCTGAATGTCTGGGGGGAATAAAGTATTTTAACTGCATTTTACTAGTTTAATAGCGTTCTTGTTGTGTCCCATCAAGTCAGAACCAACTCATAGCTGACCCTTCAGTGAGTTTTCAGAGGCAGTAAATCACATGGAGACTACCCATCCTTCTCCCACAAGGTAGCTGGTGGATTGGAACCATGTGCCTTTAGGATTAGAGTGCAGCTTCTTACCACTAGGCCACCAGAGCTCTCTAATAGCTTTATTAGAGTTTAGAAGTCTTTAAAAGGCCATGGTATGATAAATAGTGCTTATCTTTTTTTTTTACTATTTCAGGGGAAAGCACAAATGCTGTCCCCACTACTACAGATCATGCCATCAATAGTGCTTATCTTTTAACCAGAACTTTAGAATTCACTGCGGTCAAGTGGCTTCTGACTTAGAGCAGCCCTATAGACCTGTGAGGAAGACTTGAAACCTCGCTGCAGAAGATCAAAGACTACAGCCTTCCATACAGGTTGCATCTCAGTTCTCAAGACGACAAATCACCAATGAACCAATAAGCAATGTCATTCACCTGTGGTACCAGCAGTTAGGAGACATAGTATTGCCCTGGGGAAGTCTGTTGTCAGGAATCTCTCCAAATTACCAAGAACAATGATGTCAGTTTGAAGAGAGATGCACCTGATTAAGGCTGTGGTCTTTTCAGTCATTTGCTAGACAACTAAAAAAGATGACAGAAGAATTGATGCCTTTGAATTACAGGGTTGGAGAAGAGTACTGCCAAAAGAACAAACAGGTCTTGGAGAAAGTGCAACCTGTTTGCTCCTTGAAGGCAAGGATGACAAAGCTTTGTCTCATATACTTTGGACATGTTGTTAGGAGGGGCTGTTCCTTGAAGGGACATCATGCTTGGAAAGGTGGAGGATCAGTGAAAGAGAGGACCCCCAATGACTGACACAGTGGTGATAGTAATGGGCTCAAGTGTGTCATAGATGAAAATGATGCCTCAGGATAGGCCAGAGTTCAGACCTGTTGTTGCCAAGAGTTGTACTAACTCAATGGCACCTAACTACAACATACAAGAAAAAGGGGGCTCTGGTGGCTTAGTGAAAAGCTGTGTTGCCGACCGGAATCCACCAACAGCTCCACAGGATGGGCAATTTCTTGTGTGATTTAGTCTCTCAAAGTCCACTGGAGGTTCAACTGTGAGTTGCTTCAGACTCCATAGAACATAACAGAAAAAGCAATTCAAGCCCACTATTAGAGTAAGATGGGATAGTCTCCTTCTATTAAGATGACAGGCATGGAAATGCTGTGGAGCAATCTTGTCCTCTTATTTAATCACTGTGCGTGTGGAGGGGTTTGGGGAGTTGTTAAACCAGAGAAGCCAGGGTGGCATGGATGGTAATCTGTGCAAGTACTTGGTGCTTTTAACTGAGACACCTTGGCAGACTTAGTGATCTATTCTCCAAAGGTCCTGGCATTGAGGCCCTGAGTTCTGATCTACCCATAAGGAGCTGCCATCAATCAGAATCAACTTAAGGCAACATTTCCTCCAAACTGTGATATATTTTCTAAAAAACAGATCATTTGTCTAACATTTCCCAATAAAACTTAAGGATTTTAGTGTGAGTTAGCCCCACATGCTGATAGTCTTTAGATTTTTGGTTTAATAAGATTAAATAAATTCTGGCTGAATATTTATTCTTGGTGGTGTTGTTTCCCCCCCCGCCCCCCAAAGATAAACATTGTGAATGATGACAAAGTCAACAGAGTAAACAAAGCTTTCACAGATATACAAAAGGAGCTTGTACACTTCTCAAAAGGCCTTTCTCTTGAACCTCTGCACAAACAATCGGTAAGTAGAAATTATTTGCTTTTGTTACTGTTTAGTTACCAGTTGGAGGCTAGTAAGTTAACTCCGGCTTTTCAAGCCCAGACAGTTGAGTATAATTTTTAGTACTTGGCTCTGCACTATGTATATTACATTCAGTCACATTCAGACTTTCAAACACCTGGGTTTGGATATATAACCATCTATTGGTCTCTTTCCAGGCATGGGAAATTAAATTGGATTATCTGCGGGTTGTTTTTGTCACACATATTAACTTGGGTTTTTAAATGTAGTGCTTTTCTTTCTTCAGGTTGCCCACCAGCTGAATGAAAAAGGACCAGTGAACGTTGATGAAGCCACACAACTAATGGCTCTGTTATAGTAACTGTGATGCTGCCACATCAGGCCTCCACACCTCCCCCCAAAAAGATCAATAAAATCAATGCTGTATACAACTTTATTTTTAAAAATCTTGTTAATGTACAGGCATTGGCACATTTTAATACAAACTACATCAACAGATCTTTCCTGGAATCTAGGAAAGTGGAATGTCAGAAGTCAACAAAATGTGGTAAACTTAAAGTGCTAAAACAGAAGGCACTTCACAAAATCAGTTCACTGCAACAGTTACTATGTCGTCGTTTACATCCTTCACTTTATAAGTGGCAGTGAGTGAGAGACTGAATTAGAAGGACATAAAGAAATAAAGTTTTGTGGCAGTAAAAATGTAAGACACACAAGTGTCAAGCCCTTAGCTAGCATTTTTGCTTTGGATGCCCTGAAGTCTATTTTAACTTTGCTCTCCTAAGAGGAAAAATGAAGAGAACTCGAAATTGGGGGGGGGGGGAAAGAGGCTGAAATTTCAGAAAATAATCGGGGATGAGGGGACAGCATTCATCACGTTTTCCCCTGAAGTCATCAGCCCTTTGCTTTTATGAAGTTCTGTGAAGTAAAAAGGAATTGGGGAAGAACACTTCCGAAATCAATGGCCTAAGAAAGAAAGTGTTACATTCATTATTTTAAATAGGGTTACGGAGAAGCCTAAAATGTTATGCAGTTAGAGGTAGATAATAGTCCCCAGTCTCCATGGATTCTAATAATTTAGTATCTGCACATCAAACAGATCACAGACTCCTTCATTATCATCTAAATTAAAGTTGTAGTCATCTGCCGGGGTAGGAGAAAGCCGCAAAAGAGGAAACACTGCAAAAAAGAAAGAAAAAAAAATCACTGATGATTTCACTATACAGGTAATGTTCAACATAAAATGTCAAAAATACCATCAATCCAAATGAAACCCTGGTGACACAATGCATTTCACATGCAGCTAACTTAAAGACTGGAAGTTCAAATCCACTAGCCTGCTCCTCAGGAGAAAGGTGATCAGACTCCACTCAAAAGATTTAGAGCCTCCAACCTGATGAAGGGATCGTTATTTAGAAACAAAGTAATGATTCAGTTAATAACATGGTTTAGTATAATTAGTGGATTGATTATGTGTATTGTCAAGTCAGCAGACCCAAAGCTGATCCTCCAGTGGCAATAAACAGCACTAGGGGATACCGCTTACCCTCCTATGGAGGAGCTGATGGATTCAATCCCAATACCTTTGCATTGGCAGCACAATTCCTTACCACTAAGCCTCTATAGCTCCCTCAAGAAAAAAGTTAAAAACGTTTATTTGAACTTGTCATTAAAATTCAAATTCATTTATAAATCAAATATAGCGGTCAGTATTTTCTTTGATCTGCTAAGTAAGGTACCACTTTGAACACAGTAGTATCAAAGACCGAATTTAAACTTGCTGATATTCTCTTACAAATCTCTCATATTTCTGTCATTCTAATCGAGTCATAGCGAACCGTCCATTGGGATTCTGAGGCTGTGGATTAAATCACAGATTAGACATCTCTCTGGCCTTTGAGTTAGCAGGGTAACTCCTTTTGAACTACTCAACAAGAGTTCCCTTTTCTACATATGAAACTCATTGCTGTTGAGTCCAAACCAACTCCTAACTGACCCTCTACTGTTGGGATTCACAGCTATAAATCCCTTTAAAGGTTTAAACTATGTCTTCCGACGAGCTGCTGGTGGATGTTGCTTTGGGATTAGACCCTATGAACCACATAAGTAGTTACTGGACCAATCGCTAGCTTCACTGCCATTACCTGTTAGGCCTCTAGTATATTAGAAACCAAACCAATAAACTCAAGAGTTTGCAAAAGAGCAAAACAAATTTTTATTATAGCTGAATTAAAATTTCGAATTAGATGATATGCTTAATATTAGTGATAGTTCAGTGACAGTTTATTGTTGTTATGTATTGTCAGCTATGACTCATAGCAATCCTATGAATAATAGCTCTGAAACTTACCTCATCCTGAGGTAAGGTCTTTGACACACCTGACCCTACTGCCACAGTCACTGTCTATCTCATCCAGGGTTCTCCCTCCTACTGTGTTGACCCTCTACCCTTCCCATCAATTCTTCTGTCATCTTTAGTCTCTGTCTAGCTTCTCAGATGCACAGCAATCAACTGAAAAGATCATGGCCTGGATCAGCTGCACAAGTCTCTAGACTGCTATTATTGCTCTTTAGCACTCTGCAGAGGTTCTTGACAGATTTTCCCAGTGCAACTTGTCTTTTAACTTCCTGACTATTGATGTAAGGCTGTTGAATGTGGATCTGAGCATTAGTAGCTCTAAACTGGCAGAGATGGGAATATACATCTGAGACAGACAACAATTGGAGCTATACCCCAAGCAGTTTGCTTCCCTGGACCTGAGAGATCAGAGAGGGCAGACAGCTACTTTCCTGCTAAGACTTAAACAAGCACATCCCCAAAGATGTTACTGCTGGTAATTTGCAGAATATCGGTTTACACCAAGAAGTTTATAACTGCTTTGTTGTGAATCAGTCTTCATTTAGAACATGATAAAAACCCAAGGACTTTGGAATTCCTGATGAATAAATGTTAAAATAGGCTATTGTTTGTAGCAGGGAGCTCTGGTGGCATAGTCCACTACTAGCTCAAAGGCTGTGAATCTCAGAGTTCAAATCAAGCAGTTGCTTGGGAAAAAGACTGACAGCCTCGTATTAGGACATACAGAGTCCAGGAAACCCAATGGATGGTTCCCAAATGAACCAATGGCAGGAAACGCATTATAGCATGTGGTGGTTACCAACACTGAAAAATGTGTTTATTCCTTATCATGCTAAAAACGTTTCAGTAAAGTAATAGACACTTTAAGAGGAGCCTTAAATGGCTTCAGTTGGGGTGGGGGCCTCCTCTCTCTACTATAGTTTTACATATCCTTCCATCACTGCTTAAATAAGGGCTAGGCTTTATAAATAGCTAGTAGTATGAAGACAACAAGTAGTAGTTGTGATTGGTCGGTCACCTTAGATTCGAATCATGTGACTGCGTTGGCAGAGCAATGCCTTACCCACTAGGTTACCGGAACTCCATTAGACTTTATGATTGACGACAAATTCTAACTGCAGGAGAGGTCAGGTACGTAAAACGAATGAAAAACGCCACAGTGTTTGTGCCGACTGACTGCATAGAAAAGTACCCTTAGAATGTTGTAGCTTTCTAGAATCAGTCCTGCTTCATGACTGAACAAAAACAGGTTACTTAACTGTAGAGTACATTCATCTAAGGAGCTGTGATGGCAGAGTGGGTTATGTGTTGCACTGCTAACTGAAAGGTCAGCAGTTAAAGCCCACTCTGCAAGACAAACATGGGCTGTCTCCTTCCATCAAGATTTACAGTTTCATAAATCCAATGGAAGCTCACTAACGGTTGGAAGTGACTTCTTTGGCAGCATGTTTGGTTTTGGGTATATATATAGAGAGAGAGAGAGAGAGAGTTGTGTGTGTGTGTGTGTGTGCGCGCGCGCCCACTTCCAAAATAGCTTGTCTCTGGAAACTATGAACTTGGAGAAATGATGAAAGTTATACAAGTGTTCAGGTCTTTTATTCATAGGGTCACTATGAGTAATCTACAACTCTACGGCCCTTAACAACAACAACAACAACAACAATGAGCTCCGTTGGCCTAGTGGATAAAAAGTTATGCTACCAAGCCAAATCTTCTAAGTGGTATAGCACTGGTCTGTCCATTTGCCGTACAAAGGTAACTTGTGGTGGCTGTGAAGCTGAATACTGTTGACACTAATGTGTCAAAAGTGGTAATGGTTACCCATGGTAGGCAGTGTTTGGTGGAACTCCCCGATTAAAACAAGCTTGGAAGCCGGAGTGGCATATATAAATTCAGGAAATTTTAACTAATAAGGAATCTACTCACCATCAGAAGACATTAATTCATCAATTATATCGCCACTAAAAGATCCTGTTGAAAACAAAATTGCAATAGTCACATTTCTGTTTACAGAAAATTTTATTAGGATACAATATTACATGCCAATGAGCCAGAACAACCTCACCGCTAATCCTACAGCAGGTTTTCAGAGGCTGTAAATTAAACAGGAGGAAACTGCCCGTCTTTATCTGGAATAGAAACTGGTGGATCTGAACTACCTTCCTTTGTGTTGGCAACTGCAACTCCTTCGCACATCCTAGGCAACAGTGCAAAGTTAAATGCTAAAAGTTTGTGGAATGAAAATTATTCTGGATAATTTCCCCCCCCCCATAGAATTCTCCAACTATTGCTTTCTTGGTTTTCCCCCCCTTGATGCTGAGAGGATGGAGAGAACAGAACACAAACCCCTGTTGGAGCACTCTTAGGGAAGCAGCTGTATAGGGTGAATGGGCATTAGTGCCTGTAACCATATGAATTAAACAGAATGTTCCACAGACTCCAAGCATATAAAAGTATACTCATGAATTTACTTCTGTAACTAAGTTGGGGATACTGGAGTTCCCAAAGATTATACCTAATAACAATCAATCATTCAGTAATTCAAGACAGTAAGGCCTTGAACACTAATGAGTGAAGACCTAATGAGTTATGGGAGGATGTCAAATGTATCATCCAGGAAGAGTGCAAACGGTCATTACAAAGACAGAAGAGAGAAAAAAAGGCCAAAATGGATGTCAGAAGAAACTCTGAAGATTGCACTGGAATGCAGAAGACAAAGCATTAGGAAGAGTTCAAGATACTAAAGAGCTGAACAGAAGATTCCAAAAGGTAGCACAGAATGACAAAGCAAAATATTACAATGAAATGTGCAAGGAGCTAGAGTCAGAAAATCAAAGGGCCGAACTCGTTCAGGATTTAAGCTCAAGGAACTGAAGAACAAATTCAAACCTCAAGTTGCTATAATCAAGGATGCTTTAGGCAGAATATTAAATGATTCAGGAAGTATTAAAAGAAGATGGAAAGAATATACTGAGTCACTGTATTGAAAGGAAATGGCAGACACACAAGAATTTAATGAAATAACATATGAGTAAGAGCCTATGGTGATGAAGAAAGAAGTTCAAGCTGCTTTGAAGGAAATAGCAAAAAATAAGGCCCCAGGAATAGATGGTATACCAATTGATGTATTTCAGCTAACAGACGCTGCCCTGGACATGCTCACCAAGTTGTGCCAAGAAATCTGGAGAACAACCACTTGGCCAACTGACTGGAAGAGATCTATATTTGTTCTCATTCTGAAGAAGGGTAACCCAACAGAGTGTGGGAACTACAGAACAATGTCATTGATTTCACATGCAAGCAGATTCTACTGAAGATTATCCAAAAATGACTAGAACAGAACATCAGCAGAGAACTGCCAGAAGTCCAGGCTGGGTTTAGAAGGGGTCATGGTAATAGGGATATTATAGCTAATACTAGATGGATCTTGGCTGAAAGCAGGGAGTACCGTAAGAATGTCTATCCGTGCTTCATTGACTATGCAAAGGTGTTTGACTGTGTGGAACATAACAAACTGTGGCTGACTCTGAGAAGAATGGGAATCCCAGAACACTTGATCGTGCTAATGCAAAACCTATACTTGGACCAGAACAGAGCAGGGTAACACTGCATGGTTCAAAATTGGGAAAGGTGTACGCCAGGGATGTGTCCTATCTCCATACCTTTTTAACCTGTATGCAGAATAGATTATCCGAGAGGCTGGGCTCTCTGAGGAGAAGTGTGGCGTCAGGATTGGTGGAAGATCTATTAACAGTCTGCGTTATGCAGATGACACAGCCCTGCTTGTTGAAACTGAGGAGGTCCTGAAATGCTTAATGCAGAGGGTCAAGGACTGCAGCCTTCAGTATGGATTGAGGCTCAATGTCAAGAAGACAAAGATTTTCACCAGTGGACCAATTAGCAGCATCAGGACGGATGGTGAAGAGATTGACATTGTTAACAACTTAAGTTTGCTTGGCCCCACAGTCAACACTCTTGGTACCAGTAGCCAGGAAATTAAAAAACGTATTGAGATGGGAAAGTCTGTTGTTAGGGACCTCTCCAGGGTACTGAAGAGCAATGGTGTCACTCTGGAGACTAAGGTGTGTCTTATACAGGCTTTGGTGTTTGCAATCACTTTTTATGCATCAGAGAGTTGGACAATGGCTAGGGAGGATTGAAGGAGAAGTGATGCCTTTGAGGTGTGGTGCTGAGAAGAGTATTGAATGTACCATGGACTGCCAAGAAAACACAACAGATTCATCCTGGAGAGGGTTAAACCAGGCTGCTCCTTGAAGGCAAGGATTCTGGGGCTTCATCTGATATACTCTGGACATGTTGTAAGGAGGGACAGGTCCTTGGAGAAGGACATCATGCTTGGGAGGGTGGAGGGACGGTGCAAGAGCGGAAGACCCTTTATGAAGTGGATTCAGTGACTGGGGTAATTGGGATGGGTGTGTCAGAGGCAGTGCAATTGACATATGATAGAGCAAGGTTTAGGGCTGTTGTACATAAGGTTGCTATGAGTTGCAAACAACTCGATGGCACACAACAACAAGAAGAAGTAATGAAAGAAATGCTGAAGCAAGAGATTAATGAATTTGAAAAGGGCAGCATGAGAAAACATAACAAAGGTAGCTCTGGTGGCAAGAAGCTCCAAAGTAATCAATCCCAAAGGATTGCTGTTCAAACCCACCATATGCTCTGCTGGAGAAGGAGGGGCCATCTCCTCCTGTGTCAATTGGATCCAACTCAACGGTATACAAAAAGGAAAAAACAACCAAAAACATTATAACAAAATGTACAGAGAGCTGCAGTTAAAAAAAAAACCAAAAGAAAGAATATGCTCGGCAATTCTCAAGTTGAAAAAATGAACAAATGCAGGCCTCAAGATGTAATATAGGCAAAATCTTGACTTTAAATTATTGCTTGTTAATGAAATGAAAACACGTCAATTGGTATTCCATCAAATCCTGGGGCGTTAATCTTTCCCAACGCTTTCAAGTGCAGCTTGAACATCTTCCTTCACCAGCACTGGCTCTTGCCCATATGGTACTTCCTGAAATTTTTCAATGTCAACCAGTTCTTTTTAATAGTGATTCTGTGTATTCTTTCGATGCTTTTTTGGATCACTTAAGTTTTTGCCCATAGCATCTCTCAATATTGCAACTCACATCCTGAATTTGTTTTTCCAATTCTCTCAGCAAGAGAAATGCTGAGAGAGTCCCTCTCTTTGTATTTTCAACTCTGCACATTCTATTTTAACATTTTGCTTCGTGTTCTTGAGCTGCCCTTGATAATCTGTTCTTTTCAGCATTTATTCCTTTTATTTTGGCTTCTAGATAACTCTAATACAATTTCCAGTCTCTTTATACTCATTTTGGTCTTTTCTCCCTCCTCTGTTTATGTATTGACTTTCTGTTCTCTTCAGGGATGATAGCCTTGATGTTGTCCTATAGAACTTATCTTGTTTTCAATGCCTCAAATCTATTCTGGAGATGACTGATAGCCTCTCACAACCCACTGGATGGTCAGCACATAACAATTAGTGGTCTAGTGGGTAAGGGATTGTGCTGCCAACCTAAAGACAAGTGGTTCTAATCTACCAGCTGCTCTGTAGAAGATGGCCAATCTCTTCCCATGTAGTTTAGAACCTCTGAAAACATGCTGGATGATCAGTCATGGGTCAGATCCAATGAAGACAATAAACATCATGTATTTTAAATAATGTCACAACTGATAAATCCAGAAACTCAATCGCCAGCTTGTTTAAGCAATATAGACATCAGATCTCCTTCACTTTCAGATTTTTTAAAAAGACTGCAAACCCACCAGAAGAAGACAGGTCTGTAGCTGTTATCTGCTGGAGAGGCGGACTTCTTTCAGAGACATGGTGCTCAGGCAGATCCTGAGTTGGTGTGCTGGGTTTCTGTGGCGTCGCAGGAGTGGAAGGCTGAGTGCAGAGCTGAATGCAGGGCTGAGTGGAGGGCTGAGGGGAGGAATGTGTTATCAGGAGGGTGAACAGGGAAAACCACAGGCTTAGAGGAACTGGACTCCTTATTTATAAGCAGCACATGGATAGGTCCTGCATGACTCTTCAGATTGATTTGGTATTTCTTTTGTCCATTATGGCCCTATAAATTCAATGGACAATAAGAAGCACATTAATAAACAGTACTATTTCTAGCTCCCCTGAAACTTGGTATTTTATTAAAACTAAGACATGCAGAATTATTTGGGACTAACTAAACTCATACAGCAAAATGAAGAGACCGAGAACACCAAGAGGAATAAAATATGTGTCCTTAAAAGTAAACTCTTCCCAAATGAAAATCATCCTAAACTCTGGGTTGTAGAATTCTAACAACCATATGCACTGTCTGTAATTTACACCTAAGCTCGGCAGGGCTGAAATGGTCAGGCCAAACCGTGGAGCTGGCTGGCACCCATGGGTGTGATCTCAGTAATTATTTATCCACAAGTTAATACTCTCAATGGATTTTTCCTACAGAGTAGGAAATCTAAAATCCCTCCATTTCAAAAGGGTTATTTTATGATTTAGATCCCAAGGCTTTAGAATCCAGTAATATATAATTACCTGCATCCAAACTTCTAGCACAGCTGCAGAAGAAGATAATAGTGATGTGTGGTCTGTTTTGGTTTTAGTATCTATTTTTTTTAAAAACTCTGAACCTGAAAACTAAAATCATAAAACTTATACATAATACCTCCTTACTCAGGATTTTGGTCCCCACTGAAATGTGGTCATGCTAATGGATTTTTCAAATTTACTGACCATATCATTTATCATTTCTTGATAACTTCTAGCTTAAATAAAATTTAAAAATACTTGTAATCTATTTTAAATTATTCAATTAGTCATGCCCTTGTAATTTTACTAATTGTTGAAGAAATCTACATTTGGATAGCAGTACTTTCAGATCAAGAACTTGGAAGAAAATCTTGACAATCAATTCATGTTAAAGGGAAAAGGGAAAAAAATTGTCTTTCCTGCGACAGTAGATCCATTTTTTACCATTTACACAAAATTTCCCTACATACCATTTCTGGAATAGGTACCTCTAACTGTGTCCCAGAAGGCGCTTTAATGGCCAATAGCGTATCTCCTAGTTTAAGGGGGGGAAAAAAAAAGATGACCATTTTAGAAACTACTAGTGACACAATGGTTACAATGTGGGCTCTGGATACAGCCAGAACCACTGGTTACAAATTCCAGGCAACAACAACTTGCTAGGTAATGTTGGGCTTCAAGTTCTAATTCTTCAACTGTTGGGAAAATAACCCCTGCACAGATTTGCTTTGAAAATTAAACAGCACATGTATTACAACATGCCACTGAGTCAGAACTGACTCCGCTCCACTGGGTTTTAAGAGATTGTAAAGGGAGATTTCCCACTTTTCTCTCCAGAAGCAGCTGATAGATTTGTACTGCATGCGTTTGGGTTGGTAACACAATTCCTTACCCACGAGGTGACCAGAGCTCCCTAATACGTTCATTAATAGTTCTTAGTATTAATGTGTACATCTGAGTTGATGCTGACTCATGGCAACTCTATAGGACGGAGTAAAAAGACCCCATAGCAGACGGCTGGTGGGTTCAAACTGTTGACCTTTCAGTTGTTATGTACTGTTGAGCTGGAACCAACTCATAGCTGACCCTCAAGCGGTTATCAGATGCAGTAGACAGCATGAGAGGAGACTGCCCATCTTTCTACGATAAATGTGAGCCACATACGTCTGGGTTGGCAGCATAATTCCTCCCACTAAGCCACCAGAGCTCCTTTTCCTTTGGGTTAGCATTCAAACTTGAACCTCAGGATAAGCTTTATCATTTAAAATTCAGTTCAAATTACTGAAATGGCTTTAGTCTGATAAAACCTGAAATGCTAAAAAATTCTTAATAAAGTAGCATTGTTTACTTGAAATATTTGAGCTACTTAATGGCTAGAAAAATTATATTAAAGAGCAAGAATGATAAAGTGAAATCTTGAGTTTAAGTAAACGTATTACTGAACCAACAATTCAGTGCACAATGGCCCACTGAACTGCAGCTTAACAAGACTTTTTCAGAAGCATTCTTAGAAAGGTTAAGAAAGATGCCCAATTAGGGAACAAAATCATACATTTTCAGTCGTGCTGTACAGGGAAAAGATGCTTGACAGAATTGTGTAATACACAAAAGTCTGTTGTTTTAATAGGGCATGCATGATTAAACAAACACACAGGAAAAGAGTGGGTAATGAACACTGCACTGGAACAGAGGAAGGAAAGACCTGATTAGGCACTATATACATGACAGCAATCTGGAACAAGAGGGGCATTGCAAAGTGGACTGGAGAGGAAGAAAGAGGGAAATGTGCAAAAATGAGTAAGACCACCCAAAATACCAAAGTGGACAGGCGGAAGGGAAAAGAGAGGGGAGGAAGGAAAATGTGCAACAAAGAGTAAACACTCAAAGTGCATATGCAAAATTGAGTTTTATTATTATGTCATATAGGTCCTCTCATTTTAGTCATCAATCTATTATTTCTATACATTTCCTAGGAAAAGATGGAGCCAGGGAGAATAGAATTGGGAATAATTCTCCAAGTTATAAAATGTGTTCACCTAGCTCTCTGCCTTCTATCTGTGCCCACACACTTGCTGGGAACAAATAAGCCCAACCTCATGTCTGAAATTCTGATTTTGAGACTGATTTCCTGAGTTAGCTTCTTCTCAACATGCATTTTGTACCCATTAAATGTGAAACCTGTGAGAAATCATTATTTTCAGGAAAACAAAAGCAGCCCATTAATACTTAGAACTATAGACATAAAGTAAAACATCTAGAGCAATGGAAAATGACAACTTATTTTGAGTCTATGGAAAATTCTGAACCACTCCACAATAAAAACAGAGTGCTGGTGACCTCGTCTGCAGGGAGTTTAACTGTTAATCCAGAGTTGGAGCCTCCCCGGCAGTGTGAATCCTATGGTTCCAAGCGAGAAAGACGGGCAAGCCCATTTGGTTGATAGCCTTGGAAACCCAAGGAAAGGTCAACCGTGAGTCAGTTCTGTCTTCATGTCAATGAGTCTGAGATTGGGTTTTGAAAAGTGAGTAGGTTGATCAGAAAAAGAAATGTACTTACCATGAAAACAATTACAGATGTCTTCATACGTCACGTAGGAAAATGTACTGCCACACAAAGTTAAGGAACAGCATTTAAAGCAAGATGATCAAGCTATGGACAAAATGACTAAATATATAACTGTTTTCAAGGGTTAAAAAGAATAAACTCTCTAATAAGATAAAGTAAAAACAATCAGATTAAGGTACTCCCATACATTGTGCTGAGAAAGCACTTTTGAGGTCTGTGGCATCTGAAGACTCTGAGGAGATGAAAAACAGGAAACACTGGTGGGAGGAAGGGCTTCTCAGAGGACAACTATGGGTAGGAGAAGGCAGGCCACCACTATGACTGGAAAGCAACTGTCTACATCCCCACCCTGAGACTCTTCACAGGTCACAGTCTGGGGAATTGTGAGTGCTCAGAATCTCAGCATGGAATGAGGCAAAGTACAGCATCAACTAACACAATGATTTTGGAACCTTGGTGGTTGGTGCCACAGAGCTGGAAAACCTTCACTGTTACCAAACTGCTAAAGAGCTGATTGAAACAAAGGAAACAACAAGTGAAATCTATGACAACACTGAAAGTTGTATTTCAACTAACTCATTGCCATCCAGTTGAAAATGACCCATAGCTGACCCTTCAGTGGGTTTTCAGAGGCTGTGAATCTCCCAGGAGGAGACTGCCCATCTTTCTCCTGAAGTTATAAACACTTGGTAAAGAATGATTCTAGGAAATACATGGAGTAGATCACTGTTCCCCCTCAATACGATATGATAAATATACAAACGTTGGCCCACACTCTGCAGTGTGTATTCTCTTTACCTAAGTCTTAGGAAATCCTGCTCTGCAATCCCAAAGGTACACGACTCAAATCCACCAGATGCTTCCTGAAGAAGGGAAAATCTTCTCCTGTATCAGATCTGATTCAATGGCACACACACACACACGGAAATCTTGGTTTGATTGTGGGCTTATAAATTTCATTTTTAATTTGGAATTAATTTTCTAAAACAATGAGTTGCTCAAGTCTCATATCTTTTGAAAACTGAGTTGATTCTTTGCATATGCCTCTAATAAAAACTGTACCTAACCATAACCTTTAACATTCACAGACCACTCAAAGCACCGTTTTGGCTAGCATACTGTGTCCTATCAATAGGAAGAAAGGAGATACTTTTTTTTTTTACTTTCAACTTCCAAATAAACACTAGTTACTTTTTAAACTCTAGTGTAAAGTCAATGACCATTACACTGGAAGACACTATTATATACACATACGGTTTACAATGCATAACCATGTAACATTTAAAAGGATATCTACTATTAAGGGAGTCTTCCATCACATTTTTGATGCTTTGCTGCAGCCACACCTTCTGCTGATCAAGTTCTCTTTCTTTCAGTTCTAGATCTTCAATTTCTGCTTTGAGATACCTTAATCTATCGATGACTTCTTTAGTATTACAGCCGGCACCTACACCTCTTAAAATACAGGTAAACATTAATATCATCACTGTAAAACTCATGTTAACATGGTATTTGTTGTAATAATGCTAACTCAAGACAAAAAATCTTTGTATACACTATAATATATATGAAAAACAAACAAGACTTTTGAATGTATTTGCTTAGAACATTTCTTGACATTGTTAATAAGCTCTAGAGTGGTTTTTGCAAAGTGGGAGGCCAGGCTGGTGACCGGAGCGCCAACAGAATGTCAATGTTAAGTTGCTCCTGGCAATCTCATAATGGAGACGGAGACATTGGTAAAATAAATGATAATATTTTGCTCTTGTTAGATTTTTACTTAAAACAAAGACACCACAAAACAAAAAGGTACAGGCAAAGGGGCCAGATTTGAAGAACAGGATTCTTCTGATTGATACAAACATTCAACTGTGTGATGATTAACAAATGATACCATGCATTACAACCAACTTTGATGATTATAATCAACTATTACATGTAAGACATAGTTCTTGTTCTCCAAGTTCATACTAGGCAGAAAAATCAAGATTGAGGAGAGATTAATTAAAGCAGTATGCAGTAGTAACTAAATGAATAAGGGTAAAAAGTAAAATTTGTATCTTAATGGTATAAAACAGGAGAGAAAAGTAAGAAAATAGCCCCCAAAAGGGATGAAATATACTGAAGCCCAGAGGTTAGTAAAGAGAAAAGAACAGTTTTTAAACAGGGTATTCGTTTGTAACTTACTTCCACTGGATGCTATTTTTTGACTTCTTTTCTATCAGGTCAATTCCTTCCAAGACATTGGTGATATCATAAATTCTTCTTTTTTGCCTCACAGCCAAAGTATCTGCAGCCTGTTTTTATTTTTAAGAGAACAGTGAAGTAAAGGACAATTCATAATTTAAAGTCACAAGAATTCATCATTACATTTACAGAAAGATCTCAATCCCAAATTTAATCCAGATAGTTGCTTGGGAACAATAGCTGGCCATGTTCAAAGCATCTCCCAAATACTGCAAATACCAAAGAAATTATTTCATTTAAAAGCCAGCAGATATTGGAATGCAAAACAAAATTAGAGGTCATGACACAAAATCTTCAAAAGTAAAAGAACACAGTAAGAATACTGGAAAATGCTGAGTAGGATCTACTAATGGTCTACCCCATCACTTCCTATCTTACTTCTATATGCTCAGAAACATTCTCAACTAAAGACAATCTTAGTTATTTTGGGAAACTCTTAAAAAATCTTCTTTTGTAATTGATAAGGTATTTGTAGAGGGAGGTTCTGAGTTATATACCCTCTTCCAATGCCTTGCAGTACATTGTATTTTTAAACCAAAATAAAATCCACTGAATGAATCACATAATCAGCACAAAGTATAAAATTAATAAAAAGTCCAAGGTGGTGGTACTAAGGAAAGACTATATACACAAATGTGGTTGTCTTACTCACAATACATAAAATCAACAAAAATATGACATGCTGTCATGTTATGAACAAACTCAGGAATATTATATTTATCTAATCATTTCCTACTCGTATTTCTGACATTTGTTCCCCAATTGAACAAATAGTATTTCATTTTCCAAAATAGATTAGTATCTTCAATGTGGACTACTTAAGCGCACTTACATCCCTATTGATACGTAGATCATTTTTCAGCACATTATTTCATTTAATGAATAGGGTTTAATGGTAAATAGGCACACTGCCAATCCAAAGGCAGGTGGCTGGAATCCACTAGCAGCAACATGGGAGAAAGACAATCTCCTAAATCCATGTGATTTAAGTCTCTGGAAAGCAGCTCGAGAGTCAGCTATGAGTTGGTTCCTACTTGACATCACATAACAGCTTGGTTAGCCGCTCCCCTAGGGTCCAGTTTCTGGTAAACAGCAGCTTTTAGCACTGCACACCCTCTGCAGTCTGGATCTCAGTCTCTGAAAACACGAGGGACAGATGCTGCTCACTTCTTGCACATAAAGAGTTAGTTCTGTCAATTTTCAGTACTGCCAGAAAAACCAGAGAACTATTTTCCAATTACTCGGGCCTTCTTCAGTAGAGAGTTCATGCCTCAAGTAGCCAGCAAAGAGTGGGAGGGACTCTTTTGAGTCCCCACCTCCGATTTGGCACCTGTCTGTTCTGGAAAAACAGAATACTAAGAAGGACTCCTTTCCTTCACTCTTTCAGCCTTGCTCTCCTTGAGTTGGAAGCTGTCTTCATGGAGAACAATAGTCAGCAGCAGTTAACTGTAAAAACGGAAAAGGTCCTCTTGAGACACTCCAGAGCACTCCAAGCCGCAGCCCTGTGTTCTCAGTATCTATGTACTCACACACAAAAGCTTTCACAGCCATAGTAACAGTTCACTGGTTTCAGTGTGAGAACTTGTTTCTATAAACCCAGACCACAACAGCTCTTTCGCCCGTCATTAAGCAAAGAGCTATAATTTAACTTGGAGCTCAATTTGGTGGAAGGGGCCCCATACACAAACCATCACCAATATATTGCTTATATCTAACACCTTTTCAAAAACTGTTATTACTTCAACACTGACTCTTTAAAAGCATACAGCCTAAATGCCGACCATGTTCTGATACCATGTAACACATAAACTCATTGCTATGGAGTTGGAACCAACCCCTCCAGTGGATTTTGAGAGGCTGTAAACTGCTTGGAAGGACAGTCTATCTTACTCAAAGCAGCTGGTGGATTTGGGTTGGCAGTGCAACTCATCCACTCAGATAGACCAGCTGCTCTATTACAGGAGAAAGTGTTCTCCTCTCATAAACATTCATAGCTTTAGAAAATTGACGAGAGGTCACCATGAGTTGGGATCGACTACATGACAGTGGGATTTTTGGGTTTAGATTTAGCAGGGAGGGTGTATGGTGGCACCAGACTTCCAGAGGGCATCTATGTCAGCAGCATCTACATCATAAGAAGTCAGGTTCTGGAGTCAAGCACACATAAGACCCATTCTCTCTGCCACTTAATCTCTTCCACCAGCCTCTTAAGCCTCATTTCCTTTTTGTAAAATGGAATAACATATACTGAATAGATGTATTACAGGGATTATACTAGATTATCTCTGCACAATGTAGTGCCATAGGAAATTCTTTAATGTTGGCTAGTAATAGCATTATCATCAAATACATAAATACAGGCTGATATAAGGCACTGGGCTTAGGCTGCAGGTAAGATTTAGAGTGCAAAGACTATCCTTGAGTACTAAGGGTATATTAAGAATGAAAGTTGTAAGTATTAAGTTCAGAGGTAGGCAAGTTAGCAGAAGAGTGAGAAAGCAGACATTTTCATTGGGTTGCTTTTTTTATTTTCTTCGTGGGAGGAGGAAAGAAGCTAATGGTGAAGAAAAAAGTGTGAAAAACAGAGCAGGAAGGATGACCTGCACTCCTGGGCCCTCTAACTCCAAAAACCAAATCAACCATTGCCACTGAGTCAATTCCAATTCGTAGTGACCCTGACTGGCAGAGCAGAAGGGTCCTGTAAGGATTCTAAGGCTGGAGATCACTATGGAAGCCAGCTGTCACAACATTCTCCTTCTAGTGGGTTCAAATCGTCACTTTAACCACCATGCCTCCCCCCTCCCCCCTTTACATCTAAAACCTAAAATCCCACTGCTGTGGAATAGATGCCAACCCAGGATGACCGCCCGTTAATTTTCGAAGGCTACAAATCTTTATGTAAGGAGACCACTTATCCTGTAATAGAGCAGAGCAGCTGGTAAATTTGAACTACCAACCTTTTGTTTAGCTGCCCAACATGCTATCCATTATGTCATCAGAACTCCATGAAGTTTGTTGTTGTGTACCACTGGGTCAGAAGTGACTCACAGCTAACCCTTCGCTCCTCCTCCCAGAGGAGATTCTCTGTCTTTCTCCTGCGTAGCAGCTGGTGGATTTGAACTGCATTCCTTTGAGTTGGCATTGCAACTCCTTACCACTAAGCCACCACTGTTCCCCAAGTTTAGTGGTCATTAGTAAGGCTGAAGGTATATTTTTGTCCAGCTGTGGAAAACTGGCTGGTCTAGGGAGGAAGTAAAGGAAGCTCCCTCCAACTCACTGCAGAGTTACCAGTATAGCTGCGGAATAAATGTGCAGGTGCTGCATTTACAGAAGATGACTACATTTACTCTAACAGAATTTGACCCATGTAACCATAAAAGCAGCATCTAATTGTAACTCTACCAGACTCAGTTTACCCAGAGAGCAAAGCATGACCTCTGAAAAAGTCTTATCTTTCCACTTTGGTAGTTTCTAAAACTATTCTTTCACCACATAGGCAAGAGTGATGAACAAAACTAAAGCTTGCAGAACCAACCAATCACAAGAGCTGGAAACAGCGGCATGGAAGTGCTAAAGAAGGTCTAGGACTCATCTGGCCACACCTCGCACTTGATAAACCAACAAATGACATAGGGTTAACTCTGGATAGGAAGAGAGATTATGTGGTAGCTTTATTTGATTTAGGATTAGTTAGCTGCTGCTCATTAGCCCAAGGACATTCTTCTGATAAAGCATGATGTTACACTCTAACACCGAAATGCTAACCAGGGGACAAAACCTGTGATTCAGGTTCTTCATCTGCAAAGCAACTGCCAAGCCCATGACAGTCAATACCTGCTTAATGCTACTGTGCTTCAGAAACTAACACCCAACCCATCGCCACTGAGTGCATTCCAACTCATGGCATCCACCCTGGCAATCCCAAGGCTATGAATTCTTAGGGAAGGAGGATGCCGATCTTTCTCGTGCTGAGCTACTGAAGGGTTTGAAGTACTTTTGGTCAGGAGCCCAACAGTCCAAAAATCTGTATGCAAAGGAAATACATAAAAATCTGTTAGTTGCACATACATGCAAAGATGTCTGCACGTATGTACATGTATATACACAAACTTGTGATGGGGTCTTGAAAATAAGATAGGAAGAGCCCCAAGGAATGAATAATGCCTGTCTCTAAGGTTGTTAGTTGCTGTTAAATTGATTCCAACATGCACACGCCCATGTGATAGACACAGTAAAACTGTTCCACACTTTCCCTGTCTGTATCCATCAAGAAAGCAGACAGGCACTTCCTGGCACTGTACTGTTGGGTGGATCTGAACTGCCAATCTTTAAGTTAGCAGTCAAATGTAAACCATATGCACCACTTAGGAATATACAATAATGAGAATCCAAGAAATCGGAGTTTGTCTTTTTATTAAAAACTCACTTTCAATCATGCATGGAGCTTTCAGACTAAAACGGACTGGGAAGGCTTGACACTAGCTCTAAAAATCAGACAAAGAAAACACTAAGGATTGCAAAGACATGAGCCACAACCAATCATGAGGATGAAAGAAGACTGGGCAGTGCTTCCTTCTGTCCTAGGTGAGGTCAAGCCAACTCTGTGCTAATAATAGTAACAACCTTCAACTAAATGCCAAAGGTCCAGATTGGTTACTACCTGCTTTCAAGCACTGCTCCAGATAATTGATTTGCAGAATATTTTATTTCAAACCACAGTTTAGAAAATCTTTTCTAAGTCAGAAATGAGATAACTGTGTAATGGGATTTTCCACAGGTGTTGTCTAATAAAACACGTTGTTTACGTGCAGGTAGGCAGCATTACCTCGGTTTATAGGAAACAGATGCTAAAAGCAAATGAACAGTCAAGGGAAAATATCATTAATTAGATATTTGTGAAACAAATGTGTAAAGCATCTCCAAATGGGCTCATTTAAAAGACTTATATTAAAAAACTAAATTTGTTCCACAGCTAAAAGTTCTTGAGCTATATGACTTTATGAGGTAAAGCCAACTATACTGTCTATAGGTTTTATTTGAATTGTATACA